TTGAGCCTTTGGGAACCTACTTTTATCCAAAGAAGTAAATGCCCATTGATCCCACTTAGGTCAGGGTCACAGAAACATCAGGTAGTTTTCCTGGGATTCAGTAATGCTTTAGCTTTTTCCATTTATCATTGTGCCTTCACATTCAGTGTGATTTGAAAAACAACATACATTCTACATCATCATGTGTCAGGGATGTGGTATTGGCAAGTGTCACCTAGTTGGTGGAGAAACTCACAATCGCGTCTTTACTTGACACTTTATACATAAATAATTAAGCAACCATACATAATCAGTAGGTATGCTTAATGGTCTTATTCAAAGGTAAGTGAGAGACTTGAGTCTGGCTCCTGCTTGTGAAGTAGTGATAAGAAAGCGTGGCTTAAAGCCAGGTGCAGTGGCTCATACCTGTAATGCCAGCACTTTGGGAGGCTGAGGCGAAAGGATTGCCTGAGCACATGGGTTGGAGACCAGCCTGGGCAACTTGGTGAGACCTCAAAAAAATCAACTGGTTGTGGTAGCGCACACCTGTGATTCCACCTACTTGGAAGGTTGAGGCAGAAGGACTACCTGAGGCCAGCAAGTGGAGACTGTGGTAGCCATGAGCAGTGTGCCACTGCACCCCAGCCTGGGTGACGGAGTGAGACTCCAACTCAAAAAAAAACAAAAAAGAAAAAGAGCGTGGCTTGGTGCTTGGAAACAGGGAAGTTGGTGGCGTCAGGGTAGCTGAATTCGGAGATACTTTCTTTGTTTGATCTGTTTTTACACATTTGCTTTGTAAACTTCTGCATTGTGGCAGTTTTTACAGCAGTGCATACGTCATGTGATGATGGGGTACCCTCCGAGAATCGTGTGGCCAGGTGGCTTTGTCTTGTGTGAGCACCACAGCAGGTATGTCTACACACTTGGGTGATCTGGTTGACACACCTGGACTGTGTGGTGTAGCCTGTTGCATCTAGGCTACATACCTGCACAGCAGTTGACTGCACTGAATACTGTAGGCAGTTGTCACACACTGATAAATGTTTGTGTATGTAAACACATCTAAACACAGAAAACGTGCCATAAGAATACAGTATCCTAATCTTATTTGGCCACTGTTGTATATGCAGTTTATTACTGACTGAGCATCATTATATGGCATATAACTGTAATTGTTTTAAGTTAATGTAAAATTTATTAGCTAAAAATTTAATTTACTTTGAGAATAGGAGCTATTTTCCTTGAGTTAATAATGAGATTATTTTATCTAAGTTTTTGGTAACTTCTTAAATTTATATATATATATAAGTTGCCCAGGTGGGCATATATACAAGTTGCCCAGGTGGGTCTTGAACCTGCGGCCTCAGGCAATCTACTCACCTCAGCCTCCCAAAGGCATGGAATTACAGGCTGAGCCACCAAGCCCAGCTATATTTTTAAGATAAGCTCCATAGTTGAATCACTGAATCAGACTTTTTTTGTGCTTTGGCAATTTGCAGATAGGCTGTTTATTTTAAACTTGTCTTGTTTATGTGTAGGGTTCCAAATATATATATATAGAAGGAATTCCAAGTCAGTAGGTGCTTAATCTCAGTGGATATTACTGAACTATAGATTAAAAAAATTAAAATAAGGAAAACACAAGGAATACAACTTCATACCCATCAAATAGCCAACAATTAAAAATTCTGACCAGGCATGGTGGCTCACACCGGTAATCCCAGCACTTTGGGAAGTCGAGGTGGGAGGATCTCTTGATTCCAGGAGATCGAGACCAGCCTGGGTAACATAGTAAGACCCTGTCTATACTAAAACAAACAAAGAAACAAATAAATAAACATGACAGTATCAAATATTGGTAAGGATGTAGGAGAATGAGAACTTATAACCTTTGCTGATGTTGGAGAAATAGTATTAAAGCAAAAGTCTTGTGCTTCTCCCAGAGTTAGAAGAGCAAGGGAGCGATTTTATTACTGAACAGGTATTAGACCAGAAAGTGATATGTTTAGCACAGGCGATCTGCTAAGATTGCAAAGGCCAAAAGGAGGTTCACTCTTGTTTATAGCCAAGCAGATACAAACCATTACATACATGTTCTCGAGATAAACAGTAAATAGAACTCAAATAAGAGGACTTGATCTGGACACATAGTTTATCCTAAATTCACCTAGTAATTGGGGTGACATTTTGTGTGAGCTAACTGACTTTATCCAAAGGAAAAATAAATGCATACCTTTGTCAGGGGAGTAATTTTGCAACTTGGTATTAGGCGTCCTGTTCTCCTGCAGAAACTGGAAGATAAGAGTGCCATCTTTCTTGATGATCACACCCGAAAGGAAGGGATGGCTACCAGGTTCTTGAGAAAGGCCATCCTAGCTTGCTGACTAAAGACTTATATAGCTTTTTAAAAAGGTATACACTTCATCTCAAAGGGTCAGAGAAAGAATCTACAGGTTTTCTAAAGGAAATGCTCTATGAAAAGGGGTTGGGAAGTGCAGGTAGAATTAAGCCTTATATTTTTAATTTGTATTTGCCTGTGCTCTGTTGGGTAAATTGATCCAGCTATATTAGTAGGCAATTTAGCAGTGTTGTAGAGTTAGTAGAAGTGAAGATGCGCCTATTCTGTGACTTAGTACTTTTACTTCTGGATAAATTCCAGCAAAACTTTTTTTTTTTTTTGAGTTGGAGTTTCACTGTGTCACCCAGACTGGAGTGCAGTGGCCGCTCCCAGCCACCGCAGCCTCGACCTGCTGGGCTCCGGTGATCCTTCCGCCTCAGCCTTCCAAGTAGCTGGGACTACAGGCACGTGCTACCACGCCCGGCTCATTTTTTGATTTATTGTAGAGATATGAGGTCTTGCCAAGTTGCCCAGGCGGGTCTCGAACCTGCGAGGTCGGGCAATCCACTCACCTCAGCCTCCCAAAGGCGTAGGATTACAGGCAGAGCCACCAAGCCGGCTTCCAGCGAAACTTTTAACACATATTTATAAGATACTCATAGCATTGTGTATTAACAATGAAACATTGGAAATAACCAAATTAACTGGGAATAAGAAAGTGATTAGATAAATTTGGTATATTTGTACAGCACAATACTCTATAGTATTAAAAATGAATGATTAAAACAGCGTATAGCATCTTGAATCATTTTTTTCCTTTTATTAAAAATTTTTTTTGTAGAGATGTATTTTGCCATGTTGTTCAACCTGGTATTGGACTCCTGGCCTCAAACAATTCTTCTGCCTCAGCCTCCCAAAGTGTTGGTATTACAGGTGTGAGAATAATTTTAAAAAATAATGTTGAACTGCTAAAGCAGGGTGCAGAAGGTTATGTACAGTATGCTTGTACAGTATTTGAAAACATGCAGAACAATACTACATATTATTTATGGTTATATTTACAGCAAAAACACCAAAATCAGAAAGTTGGTCCCGCTAGAGAAAGATATATAAAGGCCCATAGCAAGAGGTCCTTTTACTTCTTAACAAAGGACGTTCTTAAGTAAATAAGCAGAATGTTAAGATTTAATTTATTTAGGACTAGGTACATGGATACTATATTAATATCTAGATTTTTTTGTAAAGCTTAAAGGTTAAACATTTAAGAAGAGTGAATGATGGATGAGGGGGAAAGGAAATAAGGACTTCCTTTTAAGAAAGTTTGTTGTATGGGGGATGAGAGAAATGGGGAGTAGCTGAGTCAGTGTTAGTATTGCATATTTGCATGCTAATGGTAATGGTCAAGTAAAAAGGGACAGATTGGTTCAGGGACCCTTAACAGTTGGGGGGCTCGATCCTTGAGCAAGCAAAGAATATTGGGAACCAGTGCACGGTTGGCTTTTGATGGAGCAAGGACAATGTGTTGAAGCTGGAGGGAAACCAGAATACGTGGTGGGTAGATGAAGTCATTCTCTTCTGAATTTAGGGTGACCGACATCCAGGTGCTTGGAGCTGGGAGGTTGATGGGATGCAGGACTTTCATTGCTAAAATTGCAAAGACCCTAGGCAAACCAGGATAATTGGCTGCCTTACTTCTGAGTGTTTTTCCTTGACAAAATGAATAGCATTGAATATCTCCTGGAAGTGAGAAGGGGATGAAGGAGGAGTTTGAGGCTTAAGGTGAAAGAATAAGCTGTGAGATAATTCTTTAACCTAAAGATGAAAGAAAATTTACTAGGTTTGTGCGATAGGATTTCTGAGCATTGCTAGGGGTCTGCTGATATTCTTGGCTGCAATTTTAAAGCTTAAACGGTTGTATTTCTCCTCATTCTCATTCACCTGTTCAGGTCGAGGTACTGTGTTGAGTAGAAAGTTGTTCTTAAACTATATTTTCTCCTGTATTGGAGGGAGAGGAGCAGAGGAGTGAACCCAAAGGCAAGGGAGCGATTGTAGTGATGGCTTTTCCAGTCTCAGACTGGGTAAGAAGGGAAAGAAGAGAGGATGAAGGGCCGTGGAAAGAGCTGTAGAGTCTGTTGGAGGTTGATCTCTGGGAGTGAGCTGGAAAGATAAGCAATGAGGAACGTGAACTACCTGAAACTGAGATTTTTGAGGTGGTTACTGGTTGGTGACTTGTTCATGGGAATGGGACTGGGTGGGATGGAAGCCACGCTCATTGGGTGTGGAAGTCATCGTCTCTGTGATGTCCTTTCAGTGACTAAGACAGGTTTTGAGACTCTGAAACATATTCACTCCATTATTTGCCTCTCTCTGTACTTAAAGCCTTCTGCTTCTGTTTTATTTCGTTAGGTGACATCTCAAATTGTAAATCATGTTGCTCTGGAATGTGGATGCTTGTAAATAAATAAGTGGATAAAGCAGATGTGTTTAATCAGGACGTGGCCTTTTCGTATGACTTGCCAGAGAATTTGCAGTTGCTAAGTTCAAACATTAACATCCACGCTGGTGCTTCTGTTGCCCACTAAGCTATTTTAGTCCCACATAGTTCAGTGAGGGCTTTGTGCCATGTGTGGTTGTCTGCAGAACATTGCTTTGCTTACTCTAATTTTGCTGCATTTTTTTTTGTAGGACCGCAGCTGAATGCACAGCTAGAAGGTTGGCTTTCACAAGTACAGTCTACAAAAAGACCTGCTAGAGCCATTATTGCACCGTAAGTTTTAAGCATTCTTACCTAAAATCTCTTATATGTAATTAATAAAAAATGAGTATCTATAGGTTGAACTAAAAATTAAAAACTAAATGCTGTATTGATCTTAAGAAAATTGTCTTTATGATTTTCGCAGTTCCCACGGGTTTTCATGTTAACTCAAGGATGAAGGAATTGGCTACTTTATTTCTTCAGGTGTAGTAATTTTATATTTAATTTAGGTAGTAAAACTGACTTTTAAAGAAGAAGGATGTTTACACTAGGTAAACTTAGTGATTTCAGTAGTAATTGCTGCAGATGAGTAAGTTCTGTTTTATTTATTTGAGTCAGGGTCTCACTCTGCCACTCGGACTGGAGTACAGAGACACGATCATGGCTAACTGTATCCTCAAACTCCTAGGCACGCGTGATCCACTTGGCTCCTGAGTAGCTAGGACTACAGGATATGCCACATCCCACCTCAGCCTCCTGAGTACCTAGGACTACAGGCACATACCACCATGTGCAGATAATTTTTATTGTTATTTTTTGTAAAGACGAGGTCTCACTGTGTTGCCCAGGCTGGTCTTGAACTCCTGGACTCAAGCAATCTTCCTGCCTCAGCCTCTCAAAGTGCTGGGATTATAGGTGTGAGCTACTGTGTCCAGCCACTATGTTCTATTTTAAATATTAAAAAGATCTACTTTAATCCAGATCATTTTTTTTTTTTTTTTTTGAGTTGGGAGTCTCACCCTGTCGCCCAGACTGGAGTGCAGTGGCCGCTCCCGGCCACTGCAGCCTCCACCTGCTAGGCTCCGGTGATCCTTCCGCCTCAGCCTTCCAAGTAGCCAGAATTACAGGCATGCGCTATTTATTGTAGAGATGAGGTCTCGCCAAGTTGCCCAGGCGGGTCTCGAACCCGTGGGCTCAGGCAATCCACTCACCTTAGCCTCCCAAGGTGCGGGATTACAGGCTGAGCCACCGAGCCCGACTTTTCCAGATTATTTTAAACTTACAATAAAAAGAATCTGTTGAGCATAATATGGCACAACATGAGGCGGCAACTAGGTTTTTGGGGGAGGAGTATATTGTGTGTTCTCTTAAATTGAGTAAGCGTAATTATTTTGTCTTTGAATGTTAGAGAGTTTGTGTTTTAGAACTGGAAGCTAGCGTATACGTAATTAGTGGTGTGTGTCTGTGTATGATATGAATTAAGTTAATTTTGAGTTGACTTCCAGTGCTGACCTTCAAAACGTTGTATTAAGCATTTTAAGTCTTTTTTGAGAAGAGTAAAGGTTGGAGTCCAGGCCCTTTCGCTCACAGCATCTTTTGTGTGACTTCTGTTGGTTGAGGTTGGTGCCCTGGGGAAGCAGAGGGGGCTTCCCTTGCAGGAACAACACACCCAGGCTCTGAGGCGGGAGTTTGCTTAGTGTGTCGTGGAAAAGTCAGGAGGCCAGTGCAGGCTGAGTGACTTTGCGGGGGCAGGACAGCAGGTGAGACAGGCAGAGGGTCCTGGATTGTGTGCGGCTTTGTAAGCTGTCCTAAGGTCTTTGGTTTTCATTCTGAGTGATGTGGTGATTCACAAGAGATTTTGAGCATGTAGAGTGCCATGATCTGATTTAGATTGAAAAAGATTTCTCTTGTTGCTCTGTGGGCATTACACAGGGGTGCCAAAAAAAGGTACACATTTAAAGAGATGTTTTCTATGTATGACTTTTCCAAGTTGAATTGAATTACAGTAGCAATGTATAGTATAACGTTCACTCAACCATGCTTCTGTTGTTTTCTTTGATTCATTTGACTAATGCCATCTTTGAAACGAATGCCATACTTAAAGTGTGTATACATGTTTTCGGCACCCCCATACTGTGTGAGATCAAGTAGTCCAGCTTGGGATGCTTATTATGATGTTGTAGGCAAGCAGTGACAGCAGCTTGGCCTGGGGCTTGAGGTGGAGGTGATGAGAAGCAGTGTATTCTGAATTCATTTCAAAGATTAGACCGAGATAGGAAGAAGAGTCAAGGATGACACCTAAGTTTTGACCGGTGGAACTGGAAGGATAGAGTTGCTTTTTATGTTGATGAGGAAGACAAGTGGAAGTGAGGAGCAGATTTTGAAGTGTTTATATAGAAACTGGGTTCTGACCTTGTTAAGATTGAGATGCCAATTGGCTATCCGAATGGGGATTTCAAGTGGACAACTGAATACATGAATCTGGAGCACAGGGAAGAGTATGATTGCCTAGAGAATAAAATATAGACAGGAGAAGAGTTTCAAGGACTAAGCCCTTGGGTGAGCTACCTATTTAATGGTCAGAATGAAGCTGAACATTGACAAAGATGCTGAAAGCGGACAATTGAGGGAGGAGGAGCACCAAAAGTGAGTCTATGGGAGGCCACAGGATGAAAAATGTGTCAGGGAGATGATCAGCTGTGTCAGATGCTGCCAGTAGGTCAATTACAATGAGGACTGAGAGCTGATAATTAGATCTGGCAACATGCAGATCACTAGATCACTGGTGACTGTGAGAAGAACAGTTTCTATGGAATGGTGGGAATGAAAACATTGAAGTGGGTTCTGGAAAGAATAAAAGGTGAGGGAAATGAAAATGGGTGGTAAGTATAGATAGCTTTTTGAGGAATTTTGCTGTAAAACAGAAATAAGGTAATACTTATGGAAGGGTATCAGGAGATGATTTCTATTTCAGCTGGGAGAGTTTAAGTTATGTGTAATGTTAATGAAATTATTCATTAGAAAAAGAAGAGTTGATGCAGGGGTAAGAGGGGAAGTTTGCATGAGTGTGATCCTTGATGAAGTGATAAACAGTAGATTAATAACCATCACTTCATAATAGCTCACGAGATAGGCTCTATTCTCATTCCATTAATTTGGTAGTATTTGACTATTATAGTTTGCTGTCTTCCTAGTTAAAACTTTTTCTAAATGTGGGAGCTGAATTGAATCAGCATATAGTTAATTTGAGGTTGGTGTTCATGAAAAAGCCAGACCTGTTTCCTTCTTGTAACTAATTTTAAATGAAAATCATTGACAGAGTGACCTGGGAAATGAAATGCTTTAGCCCAAATTATGTTGATTTTCAAGATACTTGAATTTTAAAATGGATATTTGACAATAATTTTAGCTTTGGTATGTATGTTTCTGCTATATAGTGACTTGATAGTCATGTTTGTGGTTTTATGGGCAATTTCTATGTTGTTACCAAATGAAGACTTTAAATGTAGCTAAGTTTTATCTTATTATGTGGTTTTCAGAAGTACTATCTCCCTTTTCAGAAAAAAAGAAAGTTACCATACTTTTTTTTTTTTTTTTGAGTTGGAGTCTCAACTCCCACTGCAGCATTAACCTGCTGGGCTCCGGGGATTCTTCCGCCTCAGTCTTCCGAGTAGCCGGGATTACAGGTGCATGCTACCACACCCGGCTAATTTTTTGATTTATTGTAGAGATGAGGTGTCGCCAAGTTGCCCAGGTGGGTCTCGAACCCGTGGGCTCAGGCAATCCACTCACCACAGCCTCCCAAGGCGCGGGATTATAGGCTGAGCCACCGAGCCCAGTTTACCATACTTTTTGAGCTGGAAAAGCAACAACAGGCTAAGTGTGGTGGCTCATGCCTATAATCTCAGCACTTTGGGAGGCTGAGGCGGGAGGATTGCTTGAGCCCAGAAATTCAAGGTCAGCCTAAGCAACATAGTGAGACCTCATCTTTACAAAAAATAAAAAAATTAGCTGGATGTGGTGGTGTGCGCCTGTAGTCCCAGCTACTCGGGATGCTTGCCTGAGCTCAAGGGGTCGAGGCTACAGTGAGCTGTGATCCTGCCACTGCTCTCCATCCTGGGAGACAAAGTGAGACCCTAACTCCAAAAAAAAAAAAAGCAACAAATATTTCATTGTTCTGTAGCATGAAAGGGTCTTTTATATGAACATGCTCATATAGTAATTAGATAAGTTATTTTTTTCTACTTTGATTTCAGATCAAATTTATCAGAAATAAATATGCTTTAAATTTTAGCTCTCTGGGACTTGCTTTTCTTAGATTTTTGCCTTTATAGGCATAAATCATATCATGAGAACCCTAAACAAACTCAATACCTAGATATAGTTGTAACCAAATAGATAGACTGAAAATAATGTACTTTTGAAAATGCTCAATCATATTGCTCATTTTTGATTTGGTGCAGATTAAATAGAATAAATGTTGGCCCATAAACTGACTATTGATCTGTCTTAATGAATTCTAATGTATGTGACATATAGGCAGCACATTGGGAAGATGTAAAAGAAGTGAGGTTGATTTCAAAATCTCCTGTGAAGCCAGGCTTGGTGGCTCAGCCTGTAATCCTGCGCCTTGGGAGGCTGAGGTGAGTGGATTGCCTGAGCTTGCGGGTTTGAGACCCGCATGAGCAACTTGGTGAGACCTCATCTCTACAACAAATCAAAAAATTAGCTGGGCGTGGTAGCGCGTGGCTGTAGTTCCAGCTACTTGGAAGACTGAGGCGGAAGAACCACTGGAGCCCAGCAGGTCGAGGCTGCGGTGGCTGGGAGCTGCCACTGCACTCCAGTCTGGGTGACTCCAACCTCCCCCCCGCCCCCCTGCCAAAAAAAAAAAAAAAAAAAAAATCTCCTGTGAGGTTGGGCGCAGTAGCTCACGCCTATAATCCCAGCACTTTGGGAGGCCGAGGTGAGAGGATTGCCTGAGCTCACGGGTTCAAGACCAGCCTGGGCAACTTGGCAAGACTGTATCTCTACAATTAAAAAAAAAAAAAATTAGTCGGGCATGGTGGCACATGCCTGTAGTTCCAGCTACTTGGGAAGGCTGAGGTGGAAGGATCACCTGAGCCCAGCAGGTTGAGGTTGTGGTGGTTGTGAGCATGCCACTGCCCTCCAGTCTGGACAACAGAGTGAGACTCCAACTTAAAAATAAAAAAAAATCTCCTGTGGTTCATTTAGAACTGCCTTACTTATCTTGAGGTACAGGAGACAGTATGTGGCCCAGGGATGTCTGTTGA